CTAACTGTTTACTATTTACTAATAGTTCACTAACTGTTTACTATATGTTTACTAATAGTTCACTAACTGTTTACTATTTACTAATAGTTCACTAACTGTTTACTATATGTTTACTAATAGTTCACTAACTGTTTACTATTTACTAATAGTTCACTAACTATTTACTATCAGTTTACTAATAGTTCAATAACTTTTTACTATATGTCTATTAATAGTTCACTAACTGTTTACTATCTGTTTACTAATGGTTCACTACTGTTTACGGTTTATAGCTCACTAACTTTTTATTAGCTGTTTACCGTATTATCTATTTGCTTATAGTTCACTATTTACTATCAGCTCACTAACTGTTTACTATATGTTTACTAAAAGTTCACTAACTGTTAACTAACAGCTCAATAACTGTCTATAACCATTTGCTAGTATTTTATTATCATGGGAATCCGACAGCTCTGGGTCAAACAAGAATCGATAAATGATATATAACATATAAAAATATTTAAGGATAGAGAGTATGATTGTAGAGCCGTCAGAATAACTAAAACATTGAAAACTGGAACAAACAGGAAATGATCTATGCACAGCCGCATATTTTAAGTAGCTGAAGAACATGCATTTATGTATTTCTAGTTCAGAGGTCTTTTGTATGAAAGAGTGTGAATTCAACAGAACAGTTTTCTTGTTTTGTTTTTGATATGTCGAGTGTTTTTTCCTGCCTGGTTTCTATGAGGATAAATATCTCTAGGATATTTTTTTTTCTTACCTCCCCACACCCATTTCTTATTAATGTTTTTGCCATCAGCTGTTAGACTTTGAATAAATGAACAGAGACGAGATCGCTCCTCTTTTACATTACTGAAGCAGTGTCTTACTCCTTTGATAATCAAATTTCAATAACAGGAAATAAAAACTTGTGTAAATGTGAAGCTGTATAAATATAAAGAATATTTATTCCCTCATTGTGTTCATGACATGAGGTAAAATCATTTCTACTACTTGATATATACAGCATGTTGTTTTTTTTCTTCGAGACATTGAATTACAGAAAGCTGTCATGTGTAAAGTAGAAACCCAAGTCATATAATATGAACTACCACTCAAAATTGAGCATTAATGACTGGGAACGTGTTCAATTTTAACCATAAAATGTAGCCAAAGTAATACATCCAAACCAAATAACACAAAAACATTCTATTTCCTCCACAATGACAATATTGGCTTGTATTTAATTCTTAT